AATGAGTGTGTTCACATGAGCATGAGGATCCTGGTGTGTGTTGCATCATATCCTGGTTTCAAACATGGAAACATAAAAAAGTTCTTACCCTGGTTTTGAGAAGTCTCCGATAGAAACCAGGATAGTGTGGCACGCAAACACCTTATTCAGGTCAGGATATGATGTTAACCTGGGATACTAGAGTGTATGCAAATGCACTCAGCGACTGCGCCGGGTTGCCAGGTATTGATAAAATTATCTACACATTGTCTAAATGCTGCAGGTCAAGCTGTGATGGTCGAGGTGATGTGATGGTCTGTGTTACTAGACCTGTTGCTGCAAATGATCATCCTTTCTATATACAGTTGCAATCAGAAATATTCAACCTCCCCAAAGATTTTAAGGATTTATCAATTAAAGCTTTTTCAAAGAGTAAGATTCTGCTTTTGATGACTTCTTTAGGAGTTGAGTGATACATAAAATCAACACAGAAAATGCACAATGTAGTATTTGTGTGTAGCAGTATATTTTGTTAAGATAGCCATGTCACAATTATTAAACTTCTATATATAGTAATGTTGTTGTTTTTAAAGCTTTCTGACAGTTTTTATGGCCTAAAGTGGAGCTGAAACATCATTAAGCCTTTGGGAACTCTATAACGATCCTTCATTTGCTCCAGCTGTGATGCATGTACAGTAACCAACCATGGAGGTTTTTAAGATGAGTTGCAATCATGGGAAAGACAAAGGAGCTTCCACAAAAGATGAGAAAGGAGATTATTTCATCACATCTGAAGGGCCTTGGGTATAAGAAGATTTCCAAAAGATTTAACATTCCAAGAGACACCATTGGGAGCATTATAAGGAAGTTTAAAACTTATGGAACAGCTGCAAACCTGCCTGGCCGTGGAAGACAGGCCAAAATTCCATCAAGGGCCCTTAGCAACTTAGTCATGACAGCCAAGAAAAACCCCCGTGTGACTGCAAGACACCTACAGGATGACATGATGAAGGCTGGCACAAGTGCTTTAGTGGCAACTATAAAGCGTGCACTGAATAAACAAGGACTTCATGGCCGGACCCCAAGACGCACTACACTCTTGAACACAAGGAACATCAACAGTCGACTACAATATGCCAGGAGGAATTTGGATAAGACTACAGAGTTCTGGGAGACAGTTCTATGGACTGATGAAACCAAACTGGAACTTTTTGGACATATGGATCAGCGGTATGCCTGGTGTGTGAAAGGCCAGGCTTATGACCAGAAGAATACCATCCCCACGGTCAAGCACAGAGGTGGGTCATTGATGATGTGGGGCTGTTTTTCTGCGGTGGGGAACTGGCAATCTTGATCATGTACAGTGCCTTGCGAAAGTATTCGGCCCCCTTGAACTTTGCGACCTTTTGCCACATTTCAGGCTTCAAACATAAAGATATAAAACTGTAATTTTTTTGTGAAGAATCAACAACAAGTGGGACACAATCATGAAGTGGAACGAAATTTATTGGATATTTCAAACTTTTTTAACAAATAAAAAACTGAAAAATTGGGCGTGCAAAATTATTCAGCCCCTTTACTTTCAGTGCAGCAAACTCACTCCAGAAGTTCAGTGAGGATCTCTGAATGATCCAATGTTGACCTAAATGACAAAGGATGATAAATAGAATCCACCTGTGTGTAATCAAGTCTCCATATAAATGCACCTGCACTGTGATAGTCTCAGAGGTCCGTTTAAAGCGCAGAGAGCATCATGAAGAACAAGGAACACACCAGGCAGGTCCGAGATACTGTTGTGGAGAAGTTTAAAGCCGGATTTGGATACAAAAAGATTTCCCAAGCTTTAAACATCTCAAGGAGCACTGTGCAAGTGATAATATTGAAATGGAAGGAGTATCAGACCACTGCAAATCTACCAAGACCTGGCCGTCCCTCTAAACTTTCAGCTCATACAAGGAGAAGACTGATCAGAGATGCAGCCAAGAGGCCCATGATCACTCTGGATGAACTGCAGAGATCTACAGCTGAGGTGGGAGACTCTGTCCATAGGACAACAATCAGTCGTATACTGCACAAATCTGGCCTTTATGGAAGAGTGGCAAGAAGAAAGCCATTTCTTAAAGATATCCATAAAAAGTGTCGTTTAAAGTTTGCCACAAGCCACCTGGGAGACACACCAAACATGTGGAAGAAGGTGCTCTGGTCAGATGAAACCAAAATCGAACTTTTTGGCAACAATGCAAAACGTTATGTTTGGCGTAAAAGCAACACAGCTCATCACCCTGAACACACCATCCCCATTGTCAAACATGGTGGTGGCAGCATCGTGGTTTGGGCCTGCTTTTCTTCAGCAGGGGCAGGGAAGATGGTTAAAATTGATGGGAAGATGGATGGAGCCAAATACAGGACCATTCTGGAAGGAAACCTGATGGAGTCTGCAAAAGACCTGAGACTGGGACGGAGATTTGTCTTCCAACAAGACAATGATCCAAAACATAAAGCAAAATCTACAATGGAATGGTTCACAAATAAACATATCCAGGTGTTAGAATGGCCAAGTCAAAGTCCAGACCTGAATCCAATTGAGAATCTGTGGAAAGAACTGAAAACTGCTGTTCACAAATGCTCTCCATCCAACCTCACTGAGCTTGAGCTGTTTTGCAAGGAGGAATGGGCAAAAATTTCCGTCTCTCGATGTGCAAAACTGATAGAGACATACCCCAAGCGACTTACAGCTGTAATCGGAGCAAAAGGTGGCGCTACAAAGTATTAACTTAAGGGGGCTGAATAATTTTGCACGGCCAATTTTTCAGTTTTTTATTTGTTAAAAAAGTTTGACATATCCAATAAATTTCGTTCCACTTCATGATTGTGTCCCACTTGTTGTTGATTCTTCACAAAAAATTACAGTTTTATATCTTTATGTTTGAAGCCTGAAATGTGGCAAAAGGTCGCAAAGTTCAAGGGGGCTGAATACTTTCGCAAGGCACTGTACCTGGCATCATGGATTCCCAGAAATACCAGGTCATTTTAAAGAGGAACGTCATGCCTTCTGTTGACAAATTAAACAAAATGATCCCAAGCACACCTCCAGGTCAACCAAAGCTTGGTTAAGAAAAAGATCCTGGAATGTCCTGGAGTGGCCTTCCCAGTCACCAGATTTAAATCCAAATGAAAATCTTTGGTGGGATTTGAAGAAGGCAGTTGCGGCAGAGAAGCCTCAAACATCACTGAGCTAAAGGCTTTTGCTTGTGAAGAATGGGCAAAGATTCAGACCGAAAGGTGTACGAAGCTTGTCAGCACTTATCAAAAACGTTTGTTAGAAGTTATAAAAGCTAAAGAATGCTCCACAAAGCTGAGATTTGAATAACACTACACATGTACGTGTTAAAAGAGCTACATTTTTCATTTGAACTTCAAAGTTAAGTCAACTTCTGTTGTCAAAATAACTCAAATATGTATCAATACAGTATATATTCTTTGTTGTTTAATGAGGTTTTTAGTAATTTATTGTCAGTATTTGTCTTTTGAGGTGAGGGGGTTGAATATTTCTGATTGCAACTGTAATTTGATGATTTTTGTCTTCTATGTGAGCCATGTGCAAGTGTATGAGCACAGAGTGGGTCCATTTATTTGTTAAGGCAATTGATGACTGCACAGGTCAGGAACAGAGACCAGTTGTGACACAAGCTAGAAACTCACTCAGACAGGCTCTGTGTGGGCGTCCATGTTGCCGCCCTTTGAGCCAACAGTAAACTACAAGTGGATGTAACAGTACAAATGTGGGAATTCATTCCTTTTTTATGTAACAACAGTGTCTCTTCTGCTGTTTCTTAAACACACTACCAAAAAAGAAAACAGCAACAAATAGATACATCAGATAAACTGATTTAGTCATGAAAAGAGAGAAGCTTGATTACCATAGTCTGATCCACACTCTCCTTCTTTGTTCACTTTCCTTTTGTTTCAGCAGGCATGCGGTGATGTTAAGTTAACTTCAGATAAAATATTATAAACAAATATATACACTTGGTAATATAGCTGTCTAAAACCATTCTTTCAATAAATGTAAAGTTATTGTAAACATGCACTCTTTCACCACCGAGCTCTCTTGGCACCCAGGCTCCATCACTGTACGGTACTGTATTTCTTCATTTTGTGACATTACCACTTTGCTGCATGTTTAGCTTGTTCCAGTTATGTCAGATAGCTTTTCACTGGTGTACACTTAAACATAAACTACAGAGACGGATGCTAGTAGTTGACACTGTAAGGAGGAACCTGAAGTGTATGAGGATACACTGGACATCCTGTCTGTTTTCATGGAGCCTGGGTGCAAGAGCAACGACCCGGTGTGTTTTAAAGGGAACCAGGGTATAAAAGCTCACAGCCTGACCCTACAGTGGAGCTCAGTCTGTACCATCAGAACATGTCACCAGTCTCACCCTGCCCTGCACCGTTAACACAGATTTCAGCAGGGTGCAAGACAGTTTCCCACAAACATCTAACGCACATCATAAAGAGATCATCTGAGTTTCAATATTCACAGATTTGGATTCTTTGAGGTTTACATTGTGAAGACATCTGTGTTCATTAGTCATTTTTGACTGAACTCAGAATTTCTGTAATTTGAATGACAGCATGTGACAAAATAATCTGAACTCAAGACCCATGTTTCCAATTAGAGCCTGACTGATACTGGACGGCAGTATACTGATATAAAACATAAACACACTTTATGATGAGAAACCCCAAAGCTTTTTCTTCTAAAGCGTTGCTCTCAATAATGGGACATTTTACAGTTAGAATAAATTTGGTGGACTAACTGTAGTGGAAAGGCTATTTGTAGGGATTCAGTGTGTCGGTCGATCAAATCCCCTGCAAATATGCAAAGATGGAAATGACATCATCCCTATAATGCATTATTGACACCTATTATATTATTAATATTGTATTATTGATAATTAAGTGAAATTATTTTTGAAACTGTTTAAATAATACATTCATGAAGTTGAGTCACTTTCACACAAAGCCAGAGTGATGATGTCATTTCCTGTCACATCTTTTCTTAACTGTAAACAAAGTGTATGACCCGAGAAACTAATTAAAATGATATCTTTCCTGGACTGGTCTATGAAGATTCAGGAAATACCTTCAGAATTTGGGTGAGTGTTATGAAACAACGGTACGGGGATAAAACATTCACGGAAGATTATCTCTGTAACTAATGTGTATGCAGTATATTTGAGCCACAAGCTGGGACTACCATGAAATTTGTGCATGTTAGCATGCTGCTAGTTTAATGTTGATGCGTTTGTTGTTCTGATTCTTATGTCAGCAAGAAAGAAGCTAAACTGAAGAGAGAAGATGGCAGACTACTAAATTTAAATCTGATATAATTGGAATTAGACGAAGTGGAACCCCGTCTTCAGAGTGTGACTGTAGCAGCTCTGCACAGTGAAGAAACCTAATCTGAACCTCTCTACGCTACGATTTCCACACGATTAACAAGGATATATTAAAAACACATATGCGTGTACAGTATATGTGAGCTACACCTACTTTCCAGAAATATACATATATTCTGCTCATTCTGTATAATATAATAATATAATCTGCCATATTTGTGGGGACAGTAATATGGATACATTCTTTCTAAACACTGAACTACGCCTCTGAATAATATATATAGATCCCTCTCCTATGGTGAAAACAAAATTCCTTTTATTTTGTCTGTTTCCGCTCTTATCAGCACATCATTATTTGGTGTAGTTAAACAAATAATGAATGCATTTAAGTGACCCAGTACCTTGCAGCAGGGGCAGGCTCTGACGGCACACTTGACATTGTGAGTTGATGTTTGACACGGTAATTAGGCGTAAGGTTTCACTGGAGGACAAATAGACCCTCCCTGAAATAGAGAGATAAATTTAGTTCCTCTGTCAATGCTCTGGTAAATAAAAACCCCACAGGCCCTGCTGTTTTACCCTTGAGGGGATTTATTTTAATCCTTGACCCAGCAGCAGTGTCCTATGCTGTGCAGTGTACAGGAGCTGTTGCTGATTTGATGGTAGTGTTTGAGTGCACCATCCACTGAGGACAAATTAGTAAGACAGCAAACTGAACTACAATGTCTTTAATCTCTACTTTCAGTCTGGATTCTGGTTGATTTCTGTGGCGATAACTGTGCGCAGCTGGACAGGCACTTCCTCAGCCTGGTAGTCAGATCATCTACAGAGTCTGTAAATGTGGTTTAAAGGATTTTTTTGTATACCAGTGATGCCAAGAGCCTAAAATCCCTGCATGCTCCCACCCACTCCAGGCCACTGTTACGCCCCATCAACCCACAAACAAAGCCAATGATGGATGAGGCCTGTCTATTCCCCTCCTCTTCTCAGCTGTACTGTGTCGTCCGTCTGTAGGGAGGTCCTGGAGCAAGCACTTACAAGAAACCCCTGTTTCATTATTCATACAGATAATCTAGCCAGAAGGTGGATCTCATCCTATTTACTCATCCACCTTGTAAACAGCCATGATTACTGCCACACCACTCTCACTTCCTCTCTTTTTCACTATAGTATACTTTCTTCCTCTACTGGCTCATCATACAGCTGCTTCTTTTACCTGCCTTCCCTTTACTAACACTTTTTTACTTCATTCCAGGGCTGTAAGGGAATCCAAGCAGCCAAAGTTGTGTTTTGCAGGCAGTGCAGTACTGGTATATGGCTAGTTTTTTGGGCAGGGGACGACTTGGACTGAGAGACTTAGCTCTTGCATGTGGCTGAGACTAAATCCATAAGTGGGACCTAGAGTTTCAGAGACGAGACTAGAAGATGATGGTTACACAGGAATGGGTCTGAGTCTGTTCAGTTTGGGTGCCATCACTGCAGGTTCCTTTGGGAATCAACTGTCTGCAGGCATGCGACTTTAGGAATGTTCCACTTGTCAAATGTGATCCCGTAAATGAACTTCCCACTGTCAAACTCCAACTTGGGAATAGTGTTCCAGTCTGATGGAGCTGCCTGTACAGTGGGAGGTGTGTGTGTGTGCATGTGTGTGTGTGTGCATGTATGTGCTGTATATGTGTGTGAGTTTGTGTGCATGCACAGGTCCTAGTCACGGCTCCGGTTGCGTTTCTTGAAGAAAAAGAATGGTGTTTTCAGAGGCGGGCCCAGTAACATGGGGACCTGATTCTTGTGTGTGATCCTGACCTGTAAGAATCAGACAGAGAAGGGCAGGATACGGTATCAGGTTTTAAAGCAATCAGTTTTCTACTGCTTATGGACTAATTCACAATAGGCTGCTACAAAATCAGTCACTGTGACCCCTGCAAATAACTCACATAACACAGCAAAATGCTCTTCTGCCCCGAAAAAGGTTGATTTTCACAAAATGAAAACCGGTTGAAATGCTGTGAGGATGAATAGATAATCGCTTATTTCTTCCTTTCACATGAAGAACAGTGACGGCCTGTGATAACTGAAAGCATGGCAGCAGGGAGGTTGAGGATGAGGGTATGCAGAGGAGGAAAAGGAACAAAAGTGAGCCAAGACAGGACCAAGGCTAAACTACACTTGACTTGGTCTAGCATACGACTGGCTTTATCATCTGTCAAGTGCCTGACCTCTGGCATCCAGGGGAGGCCCATCCAGACACTGACGCCTGGAGTGCTGCTTACAGCTGATTTTGACTGTACCCAAATGGCATCAGTTCACCTCTAATACAAGCTCTGGCTTCACCGCCCCAGAGCAGTGACATTAAATGTCCCAAAAGCCAGTTCTTGTAACCAGAGTCTGTCTGCCAAGGCCTGTGCTTTTTGCTCATCTCCTGACTAGCAATGCACGCACCATAACCCTGACGTCACAGCCTAGAATAAGGCTGCATTCAGATGTTCAGCACCATAGTGACACACCAAACATATTTGTTAGTTTTTGGGTATTAAACTGTTTTTATCTCTCCATGCTAATACACTGGTGGTAGAAATTGGTGCTAACATAGAGTACGTTAGCAGCATGGCTAACTTGCAGGCTGGAAACGTGAAGGAGGCTACTCATGACATCCCCTAAGCCTAACAGGGCTCGACAGGTACAGGTTCAGCCATCAGAAGGCTTTTCTATAAGTTTCCCAATTTGCAGCTCCATGTTTCATTTCTGACACTGCCTGTCCTTTGTGATCTTTAAATCGATTCAAGTTTGGCACCTGACCTGAGACCAATTTGCTTTGAGAAAGCCCACATGAAGATACTGCCCTGGACAACACAGCTCCTGGGTTTACAGCGACATGCCAAACCACCCAGCCAGAGCTGTGTTCAGTCCAACACTACCGCTGTGATGGCACAGCAGAGGTGCTCTGGCAAACATCGAATGTAGTTTGACCTTTTCTTCAATGCAGTGTGACATCATTCAGCAACACACTGCTTTGCAAATGCACATTCCTGGTATATTTTGTAACATGAATAACACATTTCTGCTGGATTGATGTGATAACTTTGCAAAAGGTTTTATCACTGTTTTCTAAAAGGAGCCTTTGTGCATTGTCTGTTTGTCCTGTCTACTATTCTTACCTTTGTTCTGACTGACTCTTGTGATTATTTTGGATTTTGGTGTTGGTCAAAAGTTCAAAGATCTCTTAATCTTTAAATGGTACAGCACAGATCAACACCACTCTGACCAATAACATTTCTTACACAAATATGAATTTTATATTTTAAATCAATCCGGTGAGGCAACATGGCTAAATTTAGGCAGCCACTAACCGTACAGTAAGTTTGTCACCTTGAGGGTCTTGGATATATTTTCAGTGCAGTGACTGATTCAAAATGCTGCAGTAGGAGTGTTTCAGTCTCACCATGCAGGGGGGCTGCATCCAGGGCTCACCATCAATTTGCATGGGCAGCCGTCGGGACGTCCTGTGAAGACAGAGCAGAAGGATGAGCAGAAAACATGGGGGAGAGTAGAAGGAGAGAGCGAAGCCTCTTTTAGACAAATATTCCACTTTATAACAGCTTTGTAAAAAAAAAAAAAAAGCTGGCATAATGTCACCCTGTGTTCTTTTTACACAGATACTGGCAATCTGGTCTTAGACGCGTGACGTCCAGTGTGACATATAGCCATGCATATTACACACACAACAGAAATGCAAAGAATACCAGTAATGATGTTGCTTTCAAATCAACAGTGGTGGATGAACAGAGCAAGGATGTGCTTTTGCTTGTCTTGCACATTTCCAACATGATTCAGCCTCAAAAGTCACTGTGCATAATGCACAACATCTTCATGAATATGGTTACAGATTCTGCTGCTTGTGAGGAACATTAAAACGTATGTCGCCAGGCAGCATGTTATGGACCAACACTAAACTTCATACACCTCCGCTCACAGTCCCCCAAGTTGACTCTTCAGTGGCCGAGGCCGAGCTGTTTTACTACTTCTGGTGGTGGAATAAAGGAGGGTCAACACTGACCCTTCATGCCAGCTAGGTACCTTTTATATAGAACAGTGTGGTGGAAAACTGGTGCCATAATCTCCCACTTACACTGTCTTACACTGTCGTTTAACAGGGGACAAGGGACGGGTCAGAGGCTGTGAAGGTCAGATTAGACATTGACAAGCAAGTGGTTTCTTCACTTTGCCTCCGGACAGGGTCAAACACTGCACACTTTGTTCCCATGAGACCATTCCCAGACAGGCCCCCACTCTATAAACTCACAGAGCCACTTGATACACACACACACACATGAAAATGCACATACACACTCTGAGTTGGTTTAAGACTTTCATGCATGCATGGAGAATGACTGTGATGAGTGCACTTTTATTTCTGGTCTAGGAAAATGTTAGGGGCAGTTTGCCGAACAAATGAGAGAACAACTTGTAAATGTCACTTCTTTACTGCAGAAACTGTGAAAATGGGCCGAGTCTGCCAAAAGCAACAACACAGCTGAATTAAAACCAGTTTCTCTGAATAAAAATGTGTCAAAACCAAAATGTGGACACAGCGCACTTGGATGTGTTTTAGAGAATTTAACTGAATCTGAGTATGTGTATGAGATACCCTTGTACTACTGCAGGGAGTTTAGGCATCAAATACACAAAACAACAAATAAAAAGAAATGGATTATGTATTAAACAGAGATGGATTAAGTTTGAGTAGAAAGTTTTCAGTTGGTTGACCAGAAGGAAGGTAAAGGGAGGGGAGGGTGGTGGCACACACAGGTGAGAAGGATGGAAAACGGAGATCAAAACAGGAAAGAGGAGGATGGATTCACTGTGGGGAAATATGGTGGAGAATATGACAGACAGGAGGCTCTGACCTGATGGTGACATTGGCACACTGAGCCAGCCTGCGTCCTGCACTCTTCAGCCCAGTGTAGATCTGCCCCATCTCTATGGCCCCCTCCAGGCCAACCACCTCCAACAGCTGGTCACTGAAGTCTGGATGGACACGGTAACAGAGAGACAGAGAAACACACAGAGAGGTTATGGATTCTGTTATCGGCACTCCACTTGACCAAACTGAAGAGTACAGGGAAGATATGATAGCTGCTCAATGTCCCTGGTGCTGTGGGGTAAAACAGGATGCACTGTGATAGTAAATCAAACTGTCACAGATAGTAACATGTTCTCGACCTGTAGGGATAAGAACTTTGGACTATGACCTTCTCCGGCATGTACTAGTCTTGCCGCTTTACTCCAAACAACACAGATCTTTAACACTTTCTCAGACTGCAGAGCTAAACTGTGGACACCTATCAGAGTTGTTGCTGCTCCTTAACACAGTAGACATGTTGGGACAAATTCATTGAGACTGTCACTGTTAAGTTAAGGAAAACAACAAGAAGCAGCAGTGGAGCTGCTCGTTGTTGCCAAACTGTGTCCTCATTATCTTCTGTGTAAATGTCAAAGGTGTGATGCACAACACTCAATTTGACATTTCACTTTCACTACACTTCAGCCAACTAACCTAATATGAAATTATGGTATGTGTTTGTGTGTTGCCACCAACTTCTCAGGTTTTACAAATGCTTAGTGAGATGAATTGGAAAGCAGAGAAATGCTTTGTCTTCACAGCCAGTGTGTTAATATGTGAGGCGCTACAGCAGAATCAGATCTCAGACCCGCTCACAACAACTGTGCTGGTGGCGAACCCCTCTGCTCTAATGAACTGTGGTTGTGTACAGATCACATTTTGTCCAGACATGGTGACACCAAGCGAACTGGATGAGCTGACCAGGCTGTCTAGGACTTTTATTTTGCTAGTTATTATTTATGTTTTAATATTTTTTATTGGGTTAGTTGTTTTATTAGTATGTTTAATTACTCCAAGCTGATTACATGTTCTTAATGTTAATGCCAGGGGAAAAGGGCATAAAGAGTCATAGATAAACATGAAGGCAACGAGTTCTGGCAGATTTTACTTTCCTGCAGCAGGAGAAAAGGAATAGTCTGTGAGAAGCACCTGGGGACCGGTCAAACGCTCCCTGGGGGGCTCAGTCCTCCACCCAGCCCAGACAATCTATGACTGGCAGCGCTGCCTGTTGTGACTGGAGCTGCAGGCCTGACGCTCTGTTACAGTGTAAACAATGTTAGTAATTTTCCAGTGTCATCAGACCTTGCTCGCACTGTTGGCTTTGTTTCAAACAGGAAACTGTTGCGTTTGCTTGCGTTCCTCCTGAGAGAGAACATGCTTTGTAGCCTGATGCAAAACAGGCCTCAGGATGTTTTATATTCAGAAGAATTTAAGAAAAAAACATGTGAACAATGTCAAATGAGTACACAGACCATTCAAATGAGTTTTTCCTACACCTGTTGTCCCTTCTGTGCTGTAACTTTGCAACACATTTCATATTGTAAACCCTCATTTAAAAATCAATCGCTCCCTTGACTGACTAAGTAAATCAAGTGTTCTTTCTCTCTGGCGAAAAAGGGTTAGGAATGTGCAGCAGCTGGATAATTTCAGTTTAAACAATGCATGCAGCACATGGATCTGCATGTGTGCCATTTAAAAAGTTCTGCCATTTCATATCTATAGCCTCCAAAATGATTGAGGCTTCTACAGGAACAGCTGTGCTGCTGCTGAGTCACCAACATTCTTTAATATTTGAGATCACAATTCAATGGAAAATGTCCAAGCAGAGAAAAAAAACAAACATTTTAAGGCTGCACTTCAGTTTTTGTGTGACCCCTCAAGGATTAAATGCTCAGGGTGCACAGTTTAGTACAGAAGAGCTTGTGAGGAAAAGAAACAACATGCAACAACTTGTGGTTCATTACATGAAAATGTGCACACTAATATAAGAAAGGTAAAGAACACACTTTTTAAAATGTTATAAAATTATATCTTGGTGATGCAACTGCTTCATATTTACAGAACAGATTACATTAACAGTAAGTCTGAAGAGCAGCTTTCCATATTCTTTGAAAGTTTGTGGTGCACATCTATAAAAATCATTAGTTTTTACACTTGACTTTAAGTCCCTCTATTTAGCACTTAAGAGCAGTTGATACAACCAACCACCGGGGGCGACTGGGGTTTCAGTGTCTTGCTCAAGGACACTGACACATGGACAGCAGGCACAGAGATTTGAACCTTCAACCTTTTGGTTGGGAGACGACTGCTCTACCATCACACCACTGTCCCCTCCCCCAACTCAACTAATGAATGATAAAGTCCATTACTGACTGACTCTTCTACAACCCCAAACCAGAAAAATTTGGGATGGTATGTAAAATCAAAATTAAAACTGAAAATAGTGATGTGGAAATCATCTGTGTTCTGGATTCTTTGTTCAAAGTAAACACTCACTTCAGTTCTAATGCAGCAACACATTCCAAACAAAAGTTGGGCCGGCTGCATTTCAGGGCCAGTAATGAGGTAAAACAATGAAATGATGATTCCATTTGAAACAGCTGATGTCAACAGGTGACTGCATCATGATTTGGTACAAAAGTGGCATCCAGGAAAGGCCGAGCCCTTTAGGAGCAAAGATGGGCCGAGGACCGCCAGTTTGCCAACATATGTGTGAGAAAATGATTGAAATGTTTAAAAACAATGTTCCTCAGAGAAAGATAGGAAGGGATTTGGATATGTCACCCTCTACGGCGCAGAACATAGCATATCCTTGATCTGAAATAATACAGCTGTGGGCTACAAAACCAAAACAATGACCTAAAACTATTCTACAGTCCAGTCAGGCGATAATTTTACAAGTGACCCTTTTCACATTACACAGTCATATTTAAGCCATGGTTAATAAAACATTTTGACAAGTGCAGCTTTAACTGGATGTTCCCAACATAAAGATCTAAATGCTGTTCCTCACTGCTCAGGATAAAACTCAGTACTGATTCATTTACTTAATCAGACCCAGTAAAAAGTCAAAAATAATCACCTGGAGGATAAACACACCCCAGGCTCCTAAAGCCCCCACATTCCCAGGAAAAAACAAACCTATCAGGCAGGACGTGATCTCAGTGTTCTAAATGGCAGCTACACTTCTCATCAAGTGGTCAGGAGTGTGTTAATTATTCAACACCACATAAAGAAACGATGATGCTGCACACACACACATTCACTACATGCATCTCTCTGTGTCTGCAGAGCTTTCCAGGACATAATTTTTTATAGGATTAGGCATCCTTTAAGAAAAAACTGGACAGTTGGAGACTAAGAGAGCCAGAGGGGGAGTGAGTGACACAATGACAGATGGGAATTAGAAGGATGGCTGGATGTTAAGATGGATGCAGTCTGGTGTTTTCTGCAGTTCACTGTCTGTGGAAGCTGTAGCCTGGTCTTATTCTGCGAGGTTCAGAGAGAGAAGAGGTAACAGTTTCCAGTGAGTGTTGACATGTTCTATTTCAGGTTGTTAAAACCGAACTATTCACATATCCTTTTCCTGTTGTACCATTAAATTTATAAATCCCCCTCCTTTGCACGCCCACCTCTACACCTCTATTTCCTCCAAACACCAAACATGGGCACACCGTCCTGCCCGTGTCCCGGTGTGAGAGCCTGATGGCAGAGGAGCCCACTGTGCTGCTTCTCGCCTCATCGCATTTCTGTGCTTTTGACTCTCAGGCAACAAGCGCTGTTACTTCTCAGTGAGGTGGAGCTAAGAATAGAACAGAACAGCCTCTTACATAACGCAGCCACGGTGCATTCTGGGATGGGATGGCAGTGCTTTAACGAGCAGCGAGACCCGTTGCTGCTGTGCGGCACTATTGTCTCTGCTAAGCAGGAAATCTTAAGTCATTCATTCATGGATTCTTTTAAACAACATCATGGTTTATAGGGGGACTCAGCAGAGTTTCTAAACACATCACAGTATCTTCTACTGAACTGACAGAATGGTCTCACTCATTACAGTATATACTGTACACCCTGTGCTTTGATTCATTTACTTATATAAGGTGGCTATATTCTGCGGGGGCATGGAGGTGCAGCAGTTAGCGCTGTCATGTCACAGCAATAAGGTTCTGGCTTCGAACCTGGTGGCTTCCTGGTGCCTTTTTGTGTGGAGTTTTTCTCTGGAGATACTCCAGCTTTGTCCCACATTCAAAGACATGCAGGTTGATGGGTGACTCTAACGTGTCCATGAGTGTGAGTGGATGTTTGTCTCAGTGATAGGCCGGTGACCTGACCTGTGAAGCCATTTTGGTGTAGTGGCCAAACCATATTATAGCTATTCTACATTCATCACACTGTAGACCAAAAAGAAAAAGGAGCAGCTATAAAACAAGGAATAAAACCCGACAAAATTACTTTTTTCTTATTGTCAGAATTTGATCGATTTGGTTCAGTATTATTTGGAAAGCCTAGAGGAGCTGTACCCTTATCTTATTTTATCCCCTTCAGGTGGGCAGGTAAGCCAACGGGAAGTCAGCTGGCCCAGCACTAGTGAGCTACTCTATGGGTAAGTCTCTTATAGGCAGTGCCATTTCTCTCACTTGTGTCCTAATTACATCCATGTACAATGTGAAAAGATGCAAGGAAAACATGGGAGGACTTAAGGAAACACATTACTAACGACATGAGATGACCTTTCCTGCAATCAATCACCTCAAATGTCCAATCACCAAGTCATTTCTGATAAACAGGCGTGTCGGTTCATAAAGGGCTTTGGCAAAGGATGAGCTCATGTATCCTTGCTCATGGCTCCTCCAGCAGCCTCCTCGCTTCTCAGAGACTTGGGACATACCCCATGTATGAGCACAAACCTGGGATGAACCTCATCTCATAGATCAGTTTTTAGTTCTTCCTAATGTGCTTGTGGTTCCCACTGAAAATGTACCAGTGTTTATAGTTCAGAGATGAAGACAGAGGGAGTTTTTGGCTCCCAGAGAAAACATCTCTGACCCAAACAAGGATATGTAGTTATTGCATAAAAGGCAGTAGTTCATGTTTCACTCTGACAACAGACAATGCCTCACAGTAC